AACCAATGGAATTTTAGGGGTAAGTTTCATTTTCCTAGAAGCAAGCCGTTTTACAGAAGCACAAAAGCAGGAAGGCAATGGCCCTGCCTGGGAGGTCTTGCTGGTCCCTTTGTGGGTTTTGCCCCTTCATATGCATATCACTATGTGTACACCAGAAACTAACACAACATTGTAAACCAACTATACTTCAATTGAAAAAAAGAAGAAGTGTTTAACGAGCTGCCATTTATCTACTCTGTAGTTTTGCACGGGATGCAGCTTCCCCTTTGGATTTCAGCCTCTACTGTATGTTGGGACAATAATGGAAAACTTTTAAACATCCTGTTCCATATGTATTTACTCATTTAAGTTTCACAACCACCTTGAAAGTAGGTGCCATTACTATGCCCATTTTACAGATGGGGAAACTGAGGTACAGAAAGGTTAAGTGATTTGTTCAATGTCACATAGTCTTACGTGGTGGCTCTGCGATTGGACCCAAAATACCCGGTCTTTAACCCCCACCTTGGTGATAAGCAACACTGTCACAGGGAGGAAGGAGACAGCAGCTGCACGTAATTATTTTTTTCTCTCTCAGGAAAGCGTTTGGCTGAGTGAAGACATAACTCAGTATCCTTCGTGTGTTCAGGCAGGATTGTCTAGGGGTCACGTGCACCCTGCCCACCCTAGGCTGCCGTGTGATTGCTACTTGACTTGGTCTTGATTCTCTGTTTTGCTGCCTTATCTCTCCCCTCCCCTTGGAGCTGCAGTGTCCTAATTTTTAATATGGGACCATATCAGACCCACCGCACCCAGCCATTGTAAGAATTAGCAGGCACCTATATATCTGTCTTACCTTTGGCTTTGCTGCCCTGCACCCGGGATAAAACGTCTCCCTCTGACTTCAGCTGCTCAGATTTCTACCTGGCTCCCAGAAGCACCCAGTCACGCTTCGGGAGCAGAAGCTACATGGTGAGGAAATGGCTATGTTTGCAGCTATCTGAAATACCTGCTCTCGAAAAAAAAAAGTCTTTTATAAACCGTAAAACCTACCAGTGATGACTCAGAGTTAGCATATGTCCCCCAAAGGAGTTAACCAAGCTGATAATGGATTTCTCACGCACCACCAGAGCCTGTCTGAGAAGTCAGCGCATCTCCTGGGATTAACACCTTCCACCTGGGGAACAGGCTCAGCCACCGACTAGACTCCCAAGGGGCTGGGTTTTCCTGCCTGGAAGAGCCGGCCACCCAGACCTCCTGGACTTCCTCTCTCATCAAAGATAATGCTTAATTCCAGGCAGGATGCACTGAGGAAGAAGCAGAGCTTCACAGGACCATCTGGCCTCCCCTGGAGACCATAACCTCCAGGATGTCAAACCCAGAAAGCGGCTGGGGCTTCAGCCTCACCCCACTGCGCCCTCCCCGACAAGCTCCTGAGCCCAGGCACAGCCAGCTTCTACCCTCCAGGCTTCTGCCATGTGTCCAGCATGTTGTCTCCATCTGCACCCCCTCCACCCCCAGCCTCACTCAGAGCTGCCTCGGGACTCACCTGGGCTATGGCCAGGAGCTCCCACCTGCAAGTCTCACCTCCGCCCTCATCTCGCCTGACTCTTCCTCGACGCCAGATCCCGGTGGTCCACACAGCTCTGACCAGGCTGCCCCTCTCCTCTGAAACCTTTCCATCTCCCCACTGCCCAGCAGAGGGACAGACTGGTAGCCTCCGGCCAGACACAGTATGCAGACAGGTTTTGTTTGATCTACACAATGTTTTCAAGTCTTTTGAACCAATACTTTAAAATCAGGAGTTGCACATAAAAATTCAAATTGCTGACTTGTCTCCGACACCAGGAGATCTGGCAAACCCAATGTGGTGGTTAATTTTATGTGTCCACTTTCCTGGGCTAAGGGGTACCCAGATAGCTAGTTAAAAAATTATTTCTCCATGTGTCTGTGAGGGTGTTTCCAGGAGACATTAGCATTTTAGTTGGTGAACCAAGTAGAGAAGATCTTTCCCCCCAGTGTGTGGGCATCATCCAGTCCATCGAGGGCCTGAATGGATAAAACTGTGGAGGAAGGGGGAATTCATTCTCTCTGCTTGAGCTGAGACACTCGTCTTCCTCTGCCCTTGGACATCAGCTTTCCTGGTTCGATGGACTCGGGATGGGACCTCCCCGGCCCCACCCCCGCCTCCCTGGTTCTCAAATCTGCAGACTCAGTCTGAACTACACCACCAGCTCCAGCTCTCGTGGTTTTCCGCTTGTAGACGGCAACTCGGGGGGCTTCCTTGTCCCCATAACCACAAGAGCCAGTTCTTACAATAAATCTTCTCTTATGGATAGCTAGATCAATCTTACTGCTTGTTCCTCTGGGAAACCCTGACGAATAACCTGGGTCTTTATTTACACCATCAGCTGGAGCTGGGTCTGGCAGCCGCTCGCTCTGCCGGCTCCACTTGCACCACAGCCCCGTGGCCAAGAGACTGGAGTCCAAACTCTTTGACCTCCTTTCCTTACTCTCGCCCTAAGCCTTCTTTGTAGCTTCACTCTCACTGCAGATGCAGTGAGCATATGATGCATCTTCCAAATCAGGACATTTTTGAAAGTAAAAAGCAGCACTGAGAACAAGTACTAGGTGCTCATTGATCCGCAACAGGCATACACTGAGGCTTTTTCTGGCAAACCTGGGTGTATGGTTGCCCGAACTATCGACCTCAACTTGGGCATCACACACCCTAATCTCCAGGCAACCCACATCGCCCGTGGTTCCTTAAAGTGGCCGCCATGTGCCCGTCGGTGCTTTTACCTCTGTTGTCCCCGTTTTGGGGACTATCCCGTCTTCTGGTCTCAGCCTGTCAAGATCCAACTGCCCTTCCAAATCCCAGGCCAGATGCGACCGCTTCCTTGAAGCACGCCTGACATTTCCTGACCGAAACTCCTCTCCCCGCTTTAGAATTCCCAGAAGGCTTTGTAAGTCTGCTATGACCTTGCATTAGAATCATGTCATCCATTCAGTTAACAAACACTCTCAGAGCACTGAGGATATGCAGTGAGCAAAAGAGCCAAAGTTCCTCCCCTCACTGAGTTTATATTGACTAATGAGAAGCTAAATGATAGTATTTGTGAAGTTGAAAACATTTTAACCACGTAGAGTTCTAAAAACAGTAATTACGCAGCCATGCCAACTGGGATCAGCACATCCTTATACCATCTCCTTTTAAAATTCCTAACATTGGAGAGAAGTATTATTCCTGTTATCAGAGTTAAAAACTGAGGCTCAGAGCAGTTAAGTGACTGGCTGGTGATGCCGACAGGTGAATGGAGGGAGGGGCCAGGCTCAACCCAGGTGTGTCTGGCTCCAGACTCTGCTTTCCACCACACCCTGCTGAAAACAGACTGGATTCCAGGGTGACACAGTTTGTCCCTTTAGGAGCAAGGCTGGGAGTGCATGGAGAGAAATCTGCATTAGCAACCCACTGGGGAGTTCCTTAACAGAGCTGGGTCTCTGTTCAAAGTGATGGTGTAAGACTTAACACAGCGACTGGTACGGAGGCTGAGATGTGGAACCACCTGGTCAGCCCTGGGCCTGAACCTGTCCCCCCCATCCCCATCCCTGCCTCCGGTGTCCGCATGGACATTGTCCCCTTGGCCTCTCTGGGCAGACAGGCCCCGTCTATAGCTATGACAGGTGACTGATCCCTCTGGGGTGGAGGGCAACACCTGCTGACGGCCCCCTGCCCCCTGCCATCCCCTCAACCCAGGATGGGCCTGGAGATGCCATTCAGCACTGGGAGGAGGGGCAGGGCAGGGGGGAGAGGAGCAGCAAAAGGCTCTCGACTCCGGCACGTGGGCTGCGTCTCCG